GCAGAGAGCTGAAGAAAATGGGGAGGAATACGACGATGCTAATGAGCGTGGCTGATAAGAAAACTCAGGCACCCAAAGCAAAATAAACCGGAATGTTCACCGGCAACAACGCTGATGTTACCTTGCCACTACTTTTCTGATTAGCCATGCTCATTAGCATCGTCGTATTCCTCCTCATTTTCTTCAGCTCTCTGTAATTGGGTTTGGTTTAGGTTGAGTTTATGAGAAAGAGAGAGTGGAGCAGAGAGAGAAAGTGTGTCAGGTGCCATACGCATGACTTATTTAACAGAGTCATAGATGGAATGTCTCCCACTCTAACGGTGGGGGACAAATTGACAATAAAATTTAATTCATATCCTTAATTTTCCAAAAAAAAAAGAAAAAAAAAAGGAGGTAAATCGAAAGTATGATACAAGTTTCGGGGTAATTCGGCATTTAACTCACCAAGATATTCTGCTCTTGGTGGATGTTGATGAGGTTAAGGTGCTCATAGAAAAATATAAGTTGGATACCAGATCATCTCTGTCTGTTTTCAAGGTTAAATATCTTTTTCCTTTTGAGAGAAGCATATTATAATATTGGTGGGGGAATTAAATTAAAAGGTCTCCACTACTTTCAAAATAACTTTAAATTATAATATGGTGTCATATGGTGTCACATGATCACTTGCATGTTTACTATACTATATGAAAAAGAAGGCAAATGTTTATTTTACATATAAAAGCCATCTAAAAAATTTAAATATATTTCTTGGAAAACATATTAAATAAATACAATTTAGAAAATAATAAAACTAACTAATACACATATCAATATCTGTAATATAATTCAATTTCTAATAATAGAGAGTTATAGATTATAAATAAATTGCACAAACAATAATTTTCACAAAGCAAGTATGAAAAAAAAAAAATCTAGAGTTCATCATAGAAAACCATCTTGTGTCAATTGGGTATTTTTCAAGTTTGTTGACATGTCTCCATCAATCTGAATGCTAGATGTAATGTGTTTATCTTCAGTTTTTTCATTCATTTTACTTATTTAATTGTGTGCATGATGTGAACCTTTCACCAGGGAGTTGCCCTCAAGATGGCTACTTTCCTGATGATGAAAGGAGGAGGCTCAACTGATAAGCTTGTGGGTGCTAATCCAGATGCCATCAAGAAAATGCTCAAATCATAATGAACTATAGTGGGAAAATGTATGTGGATGATGCCCCTTATTTTTCATTAATTAAGACCATAATTAAACATCTTTGTGGTAAATAAAACTAGTGCCAAGGTGCTTGTTTCAATTCAGGACATTGCCTAATTGTATTCCCAGCTCTGAAGGACCATCTAAGCCATAATATTATATGGTTTAGTACAAAAATTAAAGGCCAAATCACATTTTTGGTTCTTGTGGTTTGTTTTGGTTCATTTTGGTTTTTAATATTTTATTTATTAACAAAATTAAAAAATACATAGTGCCACGTAAGCAACTAACGATGAGATCTGACGAAAACTCTAAAGGCGGAACCACATTATAACAAATTTAAAAATACGGGATATGTTATTGTAAAAATTGAAAAAGTATGAACTAAACATATCTTAAAGGTGTAACTACTACAGGATGCTAAAATGTAATTAACCCAAGATTATAAAGTCGAAACTAAAATAACGGAAACAAAAAGTTGAAAATGAATCAAACTACGGAAGTTCGGCCAAAATTGAAGTAGATATGAAATGAAGCCCAAGCCCGTGGATTGGTAATCCAGGCCCAAAACCGAGAAAAAGCGTTTACTGAGAGGTAATGTTGGATCAATGACGAAACACACGCAAAACACACACCACCTGTTGCCACCAATCCCCACATCATCATCAAGCACACAGATTCCCCTTCTCTCTCATCCCAAGTGAACCCACCAACCCACAAACGGCGAAGCCTTTCAATTGACCACTGTTTGGTTCCGAGGATATCACCAATTCCCAGCCGGAAAACCCCTCTTTTTGTCTTTTCCGGCAGCGTCCAAACATGGTCTCCCCGGAAAACACCAACTGGCTCTTTGATTATGGACTGATCGACGACACCCCTGTCCTGGATGGGAACTTCCCTGTCTCCTCCTCCGGCTTCACTTGGCCCGTTCAGCCCCTCGCCGGCTCCTCTAGCGTCAGGTGCTTTTTCAATTCTCTTATCTTTTTCACTGATAATTAAATAATATTTGTACTCTGTATAAACCAAACGAGGGTTTTTATTCTTGTTGAATATTCGATTTTGCTTCGATTTTGGGTATTTTATATAATCTCGAAATAATTGGGCGCTTCTTGTTATTTGTGGCTCATCTGTTGGGATTGAGTGGTTGAAATTGCTGATTTGAATACTTTTTTTTTGGTCTTATTCCAAATATATTGGTTAGGGTTTTGGGAATGATTCTGAGGATTTGATTAGTTGGGTCTATTTAGGACTTGGAAATGTGTGCTTGGAGACCTAAATTGAATCAGGTTATTGATCTTATGTCTTAAGTTTGGGCTGGCTACTTATTTTGGTGGGTTGAAATGCTATGTCTGAACATCTCAATCTCAATTTTGTTGAAACGTTTACTTGTAAGGGCATTATAGGATAGTTGTCTGCACAGGTAGGGAAAAAGAATCAATTTTTGACCAGAATATCACTTGTTTAGGGTGTTTGGCTGAGTGAAGAAAATGGAGGTAACCTTTTTTATTAATGAAGAAAAGTGTGATTCCAACAATTTAGTGAATCTCCAGCTGTGACGGACCAAATGCTTGCTATATGATTTGAGTAGTAAGAGATTGTGGGATGAAGTCTGCTTGTCCACCCAACTTGAAGTTTGCTTGGAGGTCACTGTGAGAATCTCCGGATAGCAATGTCAGTTCTATCACTTGATTTATTATTTTTTCTACGTACAATTGAGATTTTAGTGTTTATACATTAGGTGGTGTACTACTGTTGGTAGGGGTACTGGGTACATCATAGAAAATCTTAGCAAGAAATTTCTAAGGGATTTGAGTTATTTTCTACTGGAAGAAGAAGATGACTTCAGTGCTGGTGATATGGGATGGACAGTTGGTTCTCATAGTGATGAGGCTTTCTGATGAAAAATGTTACACATATATGCATATATTCATGCTTGTCCAAAAAAAGATCCTAGAGTTGCAATTGATACAGACTGGACCAATTTTAAATGACTGTTTAGGGAACAGTTCATTGGCTTGGTTTACCTTTTGGGTTCATTGTGCTAGCATATATTATATTAATGAGAAAAAGTTTGGTATAAATTTTCATTGTGCTAGCTGGTTGGAGACAACAAAGTGCAGCAATGTTTTGGATGTTTGTATCATGATCTGTTTTTAATGTGTAAAGTTTACTTTGTACTACCTGTTACTAGTGTTTGTATTGTTCATGCACTTTTTAGAGTTGGTCATTTTTGTGGTTGCTCACTTATTTTCTTCATTTGACATTATCTGTTTCATAGTGTTGAAATTGATGGTTCATTGGGGGATGCAGAGGGAGTTAAGGAATCTGGCTCAAAAAAGAGGTACAAACTCGACTGTTCTCATCAAACAAATCACAATCTGTAACCAATTCAACTCCAAAAAGTTTGTTCTCATTGACTCTTTTCTGGGCATTATACCTTTTCATAGTTGGCTATGTTCTGAATGCCTGTGCTGCTATGGAGGATTTTAAACTAAATTTTATCATGAGGTCTTCAGTCACTAACAAGCATTTCTTACTTGCCTTCATAAACTATAATTGGTTTTAGATGAGGAATTTTGAGCCAATATCATTTCAGTTGGTTTAATTTATTTCAGTTTTGTGTTAAAGTGTTTCTTGACAAAGTATCATGTTATCTTCAAAATCACAACTCAGATACTATTATGTTAATATTATAGTGAGCTGATCAAAGTTAGTAAATTTATTTTGAATTTATCTTGTTCAAACTGTCCTCTTCTATCTGTTGCATTTTTCTCCTTGCAGGGTCAGAACTGAATCATGCAGTGGATCTAGTTCCAAGGCGTGCAGGGAGAAGTTGCGAAGGGATAGGCTAAACGACAAGTACTCTTTTTGTTCTCTCTCCTTTCCCTCATTTTCTGTCTCCCCCTCCCTTCCCTTCTATCTTCCCCTCTGAGGCAGACTTCTTTTATGCTTGACATGAACCAATAATAGGTTTCTGGAATTGGGCTCTATATTGGAGCCTGGAAGGCCCCCCAAGACGGACAAGGCTGCTATATTGGTGGATGCTGTCCGAATGGTGAATCAGTTACGTGGTGAAGCCCAAAAGTTGAAGGACTCAAATTCAAGCCTCCAGGAGAAGATCAAGGAATTGAAGGTAAGCCTTTGTTTCTTTTAATTGAAAATTTGAGGATTACTTGTTAGAAACCTTGAATTCTAGATGGTTTCTGCCCTTTTGTCTACCTGTTAGATATGGATAGAACTTAGATACAAAAATTACATGTAAAACCTTTACCCCCCTCATGCAGGCAGAGAAGAATGAACTTCGTGATGAGAAGTCGAGGTTGAAGTCAGAGAAAGAGAAATTGGAGCAGCAACTGAAGGCCATGAATGCACAGCCAGGCTTCTTGCCTCCCCCTCCTGCAATTCCTGCTGCATTTGCTGCCCAAGGCCAAGCTCACGGCAACAAGCTGGTGCCTTTCATTGGATACCCTGGGGTTGCCATGTGGCAGTTCATGCCACCTGCCTCAGTGGATACTTCACAGGATCATGTGCTCCGCCCACCAGTTGCTTAAGTTGGCAAGATCTAAGATGATTCGGGTGATTTGGGATAACATTTTGTCCCCAACAAGTTTATTGTCCTGTCATTGCTCTTGTATTTTTCCTTTTATTGTCTACTAACTGAATTTGGTGGGTGACTTAACTGTATTTGCAACTGTAATTGCAACCTGGGTACTTTTATGAATTAATGATGGTATTCTCATGTAAATGGTATTAACTACTATTAAGTAAATCTGGCAACTCCTCGTTACCAATTTCTTTGAGTGCACGGGAGTTGGGCTGACATCGCCCCAACTCAGGTATATAGCTATGTGGGGTTGGGAATTTGTAGTTGTATCCTGGAAAATTGAGCACTTTGTAGGTTTTGGATGGAGGTAGCTTTTCAGCTGTGTGCTTTGTGGATTTGTAAAGGAAAAATGGGTTTGCTTAGAATTTTGCAGCTCCACGAACAGTATATAAGCATGTTTAAGGTGTTATGCACGGTAAAAGGAAAATGGAGTCATTCTCTGAGGACCCCAGACAGATAAAATCTGTGTGATTGTCTGCAGCTGTGGGTAGAAAAAGAAACTAGAAAAGATGGAAGTAACAAATAATTGCATCATAAAAGGTGAAAGTAACAAAAGGTTGAACTGCTTTTATAAAGCTTTTGCAACCAGCAAGCGAAAAACCTTATCTTTTAGTGCGCCTGGCAACTTATTTCTCTCCCAGACTCGGCTGTATGCAAACTCTGTTGAAGACTCAAAATGGCTTCCAATCTTCTCAGGGTTCATACAAAAACGATTATAACTGCAAAGCAACCAAACCCATTTCCACTCACTAAAACTCTCTCTTTCCCTTCTCTTCCATTTCCCACACACCACCATCACCAACATTCCCATATCTCCTTGCCTCCAATTTTCCTCCACAAATCCAAAATTACTCCTTTATCCCCACTCTGCTCCTTATCTTCTCCCACCCCTCCAAGCTCAAAAGAAGCAGCCATTCAACAAGCCAAAACCTGTCTCTCAACCACATTGGAAAAGCCCCTCAACAACCTCAGACTCACCAACAAGCTCAAGAAGCTCAAGCAGCCCAGATTTCGTATCGAAATCCCGGTCATCGATGACTCTCCTGAATCCCTATCCCAGCTCGCTTTCCAGGTATTTCGAGACCTACCCATTAAAAGAAAAGGGTCCAAAGTTAACATCTTGATCATATGGCCTAACCTTGCCTACACAGAAGCTGCATTGAAAGCCTTCGAGTCTAACCCTTCAAGCCCAGTTGAAAATTTAGACATATATTCAATTACCAACGGTAATACCAGAATTTCGAGCTCTGCTGACGTGGTAGTGTTTTTGGCGCCAGAGGGAACCCAACTGGCTGATATGAAAAGTGTTGCTGATTTATTGTACCCAAGGCCAGTGGTTATTTTCAACCCCAAGTGGGTGTTTGAGGATGAAGCTGAGTTTGGTGAGCTGAGTGGCTTTGTGGGTTCATTTGGGGTCATTTTTTCATTTATGGGTTTGGAGGTTCAGGGGCTTTTGAGCAAAAGAAATGGAGTGATATTCAAGTGTGTGAGAGATGGGGTTGTTAACGGTGAGAAGTGGACTGTTCTTGTTGAAGAGGAAGGGCAATTGAAAGCAGTTTCAACGTTTAAATCGCGGCCATCAATCAGTGAAGTTGAGAATGTTTTGTATAATTTGATGGCCATTAATTCGCCTGTTACGAAGTCCGTGAAGTTCTTCAGGGATTTGGTGTCTAATGTAACCGGAAAGAAGTAAGTTTCGTTCGAATGCCTGTCTTGTATAATCTGTGATTGACGATTCTCTGCATAAAGTTTTGAAATTTTAGAAGCTGTTTGTTGAATTGTTTGAATGAATGCAATTGCACTCTTACTCTGCAGCAATATTTTGTTGAGTACTAAAATTTGAATGTTGTTTATTGCTTCATGATACAGTGTTGCAGTATATGTTAGCTTATATGTCTTTCTTTTTTCATTTGGGATTAGATTGAGTATATGATTAGACATGTTTTTGTACCAGTTTGAGAGTGATCTCGGACTGGTTATTTGTTCTGTCTCTATTGTAAACCAGAGACAAATTTCCTTGTACAAGGATTTTCAAAGTTGTAAGAAGGGAGAGAGAGTCTTATAACGCAATTTCCTTTGCTGTCCATCCTCATTGAAGAGTCCAGAGTCATTAATGGTCGAACTAATTATGATTTGTATGGTTTTAGCAGTCAGTAGGAAAAACCGAATCTTGATGCTGTCCTCCCTGCCACCATTTTATGATGGCATTTGGCAGTGCACCCTGGTTTCAATTTAAAGAGGTTGTTGCACGTAGTCAAGCAATTCGCAGCGTCGATGTATTTCTGACCTTTTCAGTGGTCTTTCTAACAGTTGGTGCCATAGTTTTTCCTCTCTTTGTTTAATGTATCCTATCATCTGTCAGCTTGCAGTTCTCATTGAGTCTTAATAGTGTGTGGTCTTGCATTTTATTGCATGTACTGCATACTAACATCTTGTTATTAAACAAAAATGTATGGTTGCAAGATCTAATTGGTAAAACATGGGTAAAAAAAAAAATACAGAGACCGGTTAAGGAATTTCCACTGAGGAAAAAGAGTTCTGCAATTCAGAAGCCTGGTGCTGTTTTTATCGTGCATTCAGTGTTGAAAGGCTTGAATTTGGGATGAACTCTCTCTCATTTTCCTTTTCCTCATATACAGTAGACTCTTTCTCATCAACGCGGTTGACATATGCCTCTGAAAACCCAACCTAGGATGCCCTTATATGACAGCTCTTGATGAATTGATCTGAGAAATCGACATATTTTGCCCAAAATGGCCGAAGTTTTGGAAATGCAATATCTAGCCAAGGCTTTGCTCTCCCATTGAAATGGATGACACCAGCACTCTTAACATCAGCAGAACTTGTGTTTTCCTGATATCCCAGTCCCAACATGTGCCAAAACGGATCAATAACATGGACATGGCCGTGGAATGCTATTAGGCCGGGGGGTAATGTTCCTAGCTGCCACAGGCTCAGGTCTGATTTCAAGTTCTGCATAAAGATAATATTAGGATAAATTGGAATATGATAACACATTTTCCATGACATTCTTCTTGGGAAAGTTTAGAATATATAAAGGTGACCTCATACCTGTTCAAGCCAATAGTGGTATGTAAGGCTTATGTTGGTTTTCCTCCAAGCGTCTAGATCAAAGATGTTCATGCCATAAGCCCATGCACATGAATTGGGATTGAAATTGTTCGATATCAAAGGATGAGAGAAGTTCAGATAACTCTTGAACCGTTTTGACATCACAAAGTTATCTTCTCCCCTGCATGTTTCAACTGCTCCGTTGACCTTTCCATTCATATCGATATCCCATAATGGTGAAAGATCCGTTTGAACTACAATGTCGTCGTCCAAGAACACTACCTTATCAAGACTAGGAAACATCTGCATTGAGATTAAGCAGAGATTAGCACAAATGCACAGAAAAACACAATGACTTCCGGAGCAATTAGGCTAAGCAAAATAGGCGTACGGAAGAATTATAAGTTCTCTTAAATGCTATTGAACCATAGTTAAGCATGCTACCTCTGGTAGATGTATTCTGATATGGTTCATCACTGAGTTGTACTTGGGACTAAGTGCCTGCAACTTTGCTGCAATGACATTAGGCTTATCGGTATTGTTTGCCACAATGGCTGATGACCCTCCTCTAAACTGTGATCTCACTTTTTGGTCTTTCTCCATTGCTTCCAACACTGGCACCTTCCCCTTTGTAAACCAATCAAAATGGTGCAATGCCTTGACCTCAATTATAGCAGGCAATAAGGGATGCAAAGAAAACCATGCTTGCATGGGATAATATGTCTTCCTGTCTGTAATTATGTGAAGGACAACTTTGTGAGGGCGCAATGAGTTACGGACAAGGGAAGTGGCAACGACAGAGGCGGCGAGCACATTATCTGAGGCGAGGACAAAATGGAAGTAGAAGTTGTCAACGAGGGCAGGGACGAGTTCAGCAGAAGGGAGCTGGAGGCGAGCAGCTGCGTTGGAGGCATGCTCATTGGCTAACCTCAAGGCTAGGCAGTGAAGCTGTTTAGGTATGCTGCTTGATGCTACATGCCGGTACAAGTACTCTTGGATTTTGGCATTTCTTGTTCTCTGCTCAAGAAGTGTGACCTGAAATATGCACATTGTCTCATAACTCAAAATACTCTTGCACCAGATAATACTTTTCTTATCAGTTCTGTTCACCGAAAGTGTGATACTGTTTCATAATCCATTATTTTCGAACGATTAAGATATCGATGTAGACGACACATTATTTGATGAACAAATTTGAAACTCTAGTATTATCGTATTTTTATCACGGTTTAGAGGTGGCAATGTCACTGACACATTAATTAGTTTTCAATGTAAAAAAACAAAACAAAACAAAACTGAAAAGAAGTACCATATCTCTGAGCTTGACAGCAAAGGTCCTTGCGTCTGATTTGCCTTCCTTTATCTCAGCCATAAATTCGTCCAAGGACTGAGGAATATCAGATCTTCCTTGTAATTCATCTTTGCCGATGGGTTCTTCTAATATTTGGTATATCACTTCTGGGACCTTTAAGAAATTAATAAAAACTCCAAATTAGGATACAAAACTTGCTTCATCACCCAACATTGTTGTAGAAAAAAAAGAAGACAAAGTAATTAAATAATATCTTCAACCAGAAGTAGGGATTAGGAGATTACAGTTGAGTCAAGCCTTCTTCCCAAAATCTTGGGTCCTAGTCTTTTCCCCAAGCAACCTACCATTAAAACAAATATTAGGACTTTTATTTTATTTTATCAAGAACAAATATTAGGACTTGCAAATAACAATAATAATTTATAATGTGTTTGATTAAATTTATTCATATAATTATTTTTACTATTATCCCTTTTTCATCTTTGTCACTCTTGGGTTAGTGCACATTAAAATTTAATACATAAATGTACATTATACCTGAATTATTACGTAAAATTATAAAATAAATAAAAATTTAAAAAGGAGTAAAGCCACATCGAGAAAATTGGCTCACTTCAAACCAGTATTATTGCTATAAAATAGATAGAAAGGACACTTGCTACCATGAAAAAAAGAAAGAAAAGACACTTCAAATCAGTATTATTGTTATTAATTATAAGAAAATTAAATAAGAAGGGAAAGCCTACATCGAGTGACTCGTACTTTATATTAATAAAGGTCAGTTTTATTATACAAATTGGTCCTTCAGATTTTATTATACAAATTTAGTTATAGTTCTCTTTTCTGAAGAATTTTTTTAAATATATTAATAAATGTGAATTATTTATTTCATTATCAAGCAATAATTTTTTTAGTAGAAAATATGAATTGAAAAAAATCAACCAAGATACTGTTTTCCTAATTTTTTTTAATTATCTGATAAATATTTTTATGTTTATGTAAGTCACTATAAAAATTTATGTTTTCTAAACCAACAATAAATAAATAAATAAATAAATAAAAGCAAGTGCAGGTTGTCCTGTGCTATTCATCTGATGCTTCAGATTTAGTGTGGGATAATTCATGATGTTGCACTAAACACCTTTATCAAATTATCATATCCTGAAAGGGGCTTTGAGCCTTTTGACAATTTAAATAATTAGGGGTGCTTATGTAAATGCAGCTATATCTACCAACTTTTAGTTAATTGGATTTCACATGAATTTGGATCCCATAAATAAATAAAATATAAAATTAAAAAAAAAGGTAAATGTTATTATAGTGGTTAGAATCTTTGTTATCAGAATAAATTTTCCTAAAATGATCTTGTCCAATGGTTGATCATCAAGTTTATTATATTAATACTAGCCTGCAATTGATTTCATCGAGACAGAAAAGACATGCTTTGTTATGAAACCTAGATACTAACTAAGATGAATTAAAGATAAGTCTATAAATTATTGTTTAATCTGCAAGATTATCACCAGTTTTTAAGATATTTACATTGTGTAAAACTTAACGTAATATTTTTGTTCGGATATCTGATATGTTATGTTGTTAGATTATCAATTTGAATCCAAAATTTAAATAAGAATTCCACAGATAAATAATGCATATTATGATATTTGAATTTGAAGGTTTGTTAGCTTTCCTTGCAGAAACACATGCATTCTTCTGAAGCCCTGAAACCAATGCTGCTACATATTCTTTAATAGCATAGCTAGAATAATATTGGGGTTGAATGAAGGTACATACCTATTGTGGAGCACTTGCGTTCTCCATCAATGGTGTCCACTGCTGTCATAACAAACACAAACCTGAGAAGAAATGTGAAGAAGAGAATGGAGTAGAAGAGCATCCGGTACGAAAGCCGCCTCGACCCAACTTTCACTTTGATGAATTCTCTAACTCCCTTCCCTGGAAACACAGTCACATGCCTCAAGCTGGGTGATATGTGAAGCTGCATTTTGTGTTTTGTTCAAGACAACCCCAGACACAAAATTCCAAACCCAGGCAAAGTATGTTGTTGTTATTTTCTGTGGCAATTCAAATCACCAAAACAAGGACAGACTAGAATTGCAAGAACCCATGAAGGAGGAGTATGCTGTAAAAGGAAGGTTTTGATGGGGGCTTAGGGTAGCTATCTGTTACCTAACCTTGCTTAGTATTTGGGCTATGGAGATATCAGGGTTTTGGGAGTATATTTTAATGTAGAGAGTTGAAGGGGGGTTGTTAAGGAGAAAGAGACATGGGACTGATGTTTTTGCTTTTTCTGGTTTGGGATTTGGCTTGGTTTTGAAGGAGGGAAGTTAAGGGATAAATGAGATAAAATGAAAAAAATTATAATATATAATATTCAATTTGAGAAGAAGAAGATGGTAGTTTGGTGTTTGCTTGGCTTTGCCTCCACATGAGGTTCTTAGCAGCAACTCAAAAACCTTGGACTATGGAGTCTTTGACAGAACAGGGCTTCTAAATGGACAATGACTCTTCCTCTCTCTATCTCTATGGGGTGGGTTTTGGTTGTTGGAGTGAAAATGCAGCAACATCTGATTCTATTTTTTATTTTTTATTTCTAACAAACTGTAAATTGGCATGGCCTGCGTGGTATTTTTTTTCCTATTTGTCATGGTTTGACTCCCATAAAATATTGTATTCTTTTAAAAGGAAAGGGCAATAGGACCTTTAATTGCTACAGTTATAAATGGTATTTATTATTTCCTTTCACAAAGACCATGCACAGTTTTGGGGTTGGAATTTGGTGTATGTTGTTATGACATCATTGACAGAATTGAAATGACTACTTCCCTTTGAATCATGAAAGTAATTTATTCTCCTTTGACCAAAAAACAAATCTACCTTCTTTTGTCCTTCTTCTTTTGTCCTATGGGGTAGCCCAAATGAACATATAAACCCAACCAGGGATAACCTTGGGCTGAGGAACTCTATCTTGAAGACAGACACCCAAACATTACACCCATACTCAAATTTTAAAATCAAAAAATTTCTCATCTCCTAACCTAAGTGCTTTAACCCCCCTCCACCTCTAACTTAAATCAAACAAGAATTGCAT